AAGATTCGTGTCATTCAGCTTCAGCTTCTCCTGTGTCCACTCGTATCGCCACCCCAGATTCAAAGACTGTTTTATCTGGGCGGGCTGTTAAAGACGTCTTATCTGTGTTTGTTCTGCGCATATTTGTACAAGACGAAAGGAAAATGAGCATATTTTCCAACAAAAAAAATTCCCTTAGCCTTAACCTCAATGACATATCACTTATATACACACTTGCACACAGCCACATCGACATACATTTCTTTTGATTTGCCAAGATGTAATATAAACAGGTACCAGGTTCTGCAGTCTTTCTGTAAACTCGACTGTTACACCATGAACTGCGCTTCAACAAAAGGACCCTAATTAATTTCTTAAAGAGGCCATATGATGCTGTTTTAAAAGTTCATTATTTCGTTTATTGGGTGTATTAGAATAGGTTACCGTGCTTTAATGCTCAAAACACATTTTTCACATACTGTACATTATTGCAGCCCCTCTATTACCAGTCTGTCTGAAATGTGCTGATTTATACAAATGCTGCGTCCCAATTCGCATACTATCCGTCCTAAATAGTATTCGAAAATATAATCAGTACGTCCCAAATCGTAGTATGTTGAAATGAGTGTCCAAAGAGACCCGGATGGTCTACTATATCCGGTCAGAACTACAAACGCGAGTGAAAAGTGTTAAAAAACTACAGACATGGAGGACGCGCGAGTCCGACGGTTGTGTAGAGAGGTTTAGAGAAAGGGGTTTAAGTGATTAATTATCAGTATCTAACCTGACGAAAATGTATTTATTCAATGTTGTCCACATTATATTGCATCTGCAGCATTGTGAACTTTTGTAAAGATAAGTTTAGCCATTAACTTTTAAATGCATCATTATATTCTAATTGCAAACACACGAGGAGAGTCTCCGCATGAAAGACCCACGACTGGCAGATGAACGTGCGACAACATTTCTCTCCGAAACCGTAATAAATTAAATTAGATTGAATGGAGGATTTTAACTGTGACGAGATGATTGACAGGGCAGTTTACGGTGACAGGATAATTGACAGGGCAGTTTACGGTGACGGGATGCATCTGTCCGTTAAAGATGACGAAGTAGTGTGTCCCAAAGCTTGCTTACTCTTTTGCTACACACTCAAAGGAATGTACTTTTTCTTCACAAAAAGAGTACTTTTAGGGCTTAGTATAAGAAGGCGAATTGGGACGCAGCCAAAGCCCCTCCTTCTGAAGAGCTCAGAGTGCTCTGATTGGCCAGCTGACCCAGTGCGTTGTGATTGGCCGAACACCTCAAGCATGTGTCAGAACTGTAACGCTCATTACCATAATCATGAATTTCAGCTTTCAAGGCTTCTAAAGCATTTGTAAACAAATTGATAATAACGTTGTCGTTCGAGCCCCAAATCAGATCCAGAAAATGCGAATCGACCGGAACCAACTTTGCGAGCACGACTTTGCGAGCTGTTTTTGAAGCAAAACTTGTTTTGGGGGGTTGTACTGCTCGAGAACAGTTTTATAAATACATCTTAACCACTGATTCCTAAAGGCCAAACATAGAGTCTCCACGACAGCCTCGTCTTCTTTCTTTGCGTATGCCTTTGGCTGAGCTTCATGCTAATAATATTTCACATTGTGACATGGATGTTTGAGGAAGTAATATCTCGACGTGGATCGAGGTGTTTTAGGCAGGTCTGGATCAGCGTTCTCTGTTAGATAAGCTAAAATAAATCACTTTGTGGGAAACTATGAGCTTTGTAACTTTGAGGATCATATACATGCACCAACAGATACATTACACACTAAATGAAAAGGAAAATATTAAAAAGCATCATATAGCCTCTTTAAAACATCCCAGCAAGCGATTTTCCATTTAAAAGACGTCTAATAGTCCAAATACAGCCCTGATGTCTAGGCTAAGTAAGGGTTAATGCCCGACGACAATACCTAGACAATGGACACCTCGTCGGGCATTAACCCGCTTATACCACGGTCACTTGCCAAATAACACATTTTTAAAACATTAGTTTATATTTTAATTACTTTTTCAATCGAAATCTGAAGTTTTTACAAACAATAACTTGGTTTCCCTGGTTACGCCTGACGGTTTATTTAGCAACCGGAGATATTTGTAGACGGATAAACGGATACTTTGACTGCCTGTTGCTATGGTTACTCACAGCTGATATAACCAGCGCATTTATTTATTAGTTTTGAACGTTAAACAGTCAGTTTCACCAGAACTCCTTTACTAGGTGTCCTCTATCACTTTTTAATGGACACCCTGCAGCCAATCAGAATCGAGTATTCACCCAGACCATGGTATAATTTTTTTTAAAAGAGTCTAACCATAGCCCAAAAACAGACTAGTCATCAGTTAGATAACATGTCAAAGAAATGAAACCAAACACCTTGTAATCTTCCATGATGGAATATCATACATCTCACAAGTTATTTTGGCAAAAACGACGTGTAACCAAATTCAAGGTTATTTTGGCTAGAAGTGGGTTACTCGTATCGCCGGACTATATCTGGTCTATAGGTAACCTAGACGGTGAATTGCTTGCTGGGCTGTTTCTGCTCTAACTGTGACATCTCGACAGTTTAATGAATTTTAAGCAGTTTGCTCAGCGAGATTCTTCGTCATGACGTGAGTTGAGCTGGCAGAGAATATTAAAGAGATGCTGCTATAGCGCCATTCATAATGCAAGGCATGCTTACACTACATTATGCAACAGTGCATGAAACCAAACTCGCTTGGCTAGAAACGATTGCTTTTGCCTTTTTAATGTCGGCTGCATCCGCAAAAGCTCTTATTTTTAAAGTCTTTTCATTTTTCCTGCTCGTTGACTATTTATACACTGGAAATGGCTTTAACTGCACCAACTGGCTCATTATTAATGAGCCACGAATCAGGTTATTTACCTCACGGTGTGGTGAACTTCCCATGACTGCTGTTGAACACTATGGAGGATTTTAATAGGAATAAACAGGCAGGGTTGCCATGTTTAACAGCCTCGTGTCTGCAGTCACGTCCACTGGAGAGAAACAGTTAAAATAGTGTATCTAAATTTAATATGGTTGACATAGTTACTGCAGAAATACATCATCTCATATCAAAAAAAAAAAAAGAATTAAAAGAGGAACCATTACTACTGGATTTGTGAGTTAAAGTCACTGGATTTCTCTTTAAAACTGGATAGACTGGAACCAGTAGCAATCGTGAGTCAAACACTGTGGCAAAAACACTGGATCACACACTCCTTAACCGCCAGGAAACACTTCAAATTGAGTTTTTACTATGGTACTTAATCCTTCCTTTTACACCATATGTTCTTTCTTTTTTTTACTTTATGCATTGTTTTAACTTTAGTTTGCTGCTATGCATACTATACAAGCCGTAACCAATGATTGTGTTCAAAGTAGATCTTTTGAACATTTATATGCAGTATATTCTTGTATAGTTTAATGTGAACGTTACTTGTCTAAACAGTTGGAGCGTCACTATTGATCAGAACGGTGGATTCTCCGAGAATTTCTCAGACAATGTCCCATATTTTGAGTATTACTAATTAAAACCCAGTAGATTTATGGTCATTTTAAAAATTCAAGCAAAAAAAATTGTGTCAAGCAGAAAAATGACCAGATCTTTCATGTAATCCAGCACTGTGTGAATTTCAACGCATTATTTGGAGTCTTTTAGTCTTTTGTTTGTTTATTATCCTTGTACACATAACATGTTGGTGTTATAGATATTGTTTGAATATTTGAAAGCAATAAGGAAAGCCATAAAGTAGTCTTTGTAAGGCTGGGTAACGTGATTATGATGGTCAAATCATGAAGAGAACCAGGAAAGTGTTGACTGAAAATTGTTGTGCACTAAAATGACTATTTCCATAATTCCACACTAATGGATGATACTGATTCTGAGTATAAACACAGTTTAAAATCTAATATATGGTTATTTTTAAATCATAGGGAATATCACATATTCTGTCCTGAGTAAACCAGCCTCTTGTGGAAGCACTTCCAAACTATGCACTGTAAATATGTTTTCTGTGACATCTAAAACTGTTTAAATGCTCTGTAAAATATAAAACGTCCTTTAAATGTTTTTGTGAAAATTCAGTTTGGTTTTTATTGTTTGGTTTAACTTTCATTATGTACAACCATATCCTTTATTTCTGTTCTTTTTACTCTTCATTAAATTCGTTTTTATAACATGTAATTTTACTACTTTTATGCTTTGTTAATCATAACATGTTTGGTTAAAAACATTGCATTTTAAACATATTAAATAACTTGCCTTAAGTCGGGTAAAACATTTCTTGTTCATCAATGACTAGTATAAAATTACATGAACTGATTTTACCACCAAAGGACAGAGAAGAAAAACTATCATTTTCTCAGTTGTCAGTTTTGTTTTGTTTGTCTTTATGGCTCAAAGCCCAGTAAGAACTAAAATATTTTTTAAAAACTTAATTCACTATTGTGTTTATGTCCCAGAACATTTTCTCATTTCTTTCGCTTTATCTGAGCTTTCTGAAAGCCATGTTGTATATTGATACATAACCGTTATTTTTAGTTCAGCTGCATAATTTCAGTCTCACTTTTTTTTTTTACATGTATGTGTACTGATGTCATAATACAATGTATGCAAGCATGATGCATAAATTAAATAAATATTTTTTTCTGGATACTAAATTTAAATTCTTCTTTGTGTTACAGTCATAATGAAACGATCTATCTACTGTATCTATAGGGAGGACTTATATTTTGTATTGAGTTATCTATCTATCAGGGAGGACCTTTATTTTGTATGGTGATATCTATCTATCAAGGAGGACCTTTATTTTGTATGGTGATATCTATCTATCAAGGAGGACCTTTATTTTGTATGGTGATATCTATCTATCAATGAGGACCTTTATTTGTGATCTATCTATGTCAGGGAGGACTTTTATTTTGTATTATGATCTATCTGTATGTCAGGGGGGGGGACTTTTATTTTGTATGGCGCTGTCAGTCACTCCTCTTCCGGTCACTCTTCACTTACGTGGCTGTTCTTGCTCTTCTTCCGGTCGGAGACGGATTCATCCTTTACCTGTCACACGATGGTAAATTACGCACGATTTAACAGCAAATAATTATGTTTTTTAAATCCCCGAGAGTCCAGTAATGAATTGAAACGGCAAATAACGTATCTAGTATTTCCTTTTATCGCTCTTGTCTTGTTAAATTGCATTTAGCTTTAGCAGTTAGCCGCTGATGTCAGTCAGGAGTGCTGATGTTTTTACTACAGACACAAATATAAACGTCATATAAAATATCTTATGCATGTTTTAATCATAAATATGTATGTGTATATGTGTGTAGGCTTCATGTTAACTTGTAATAGATGTTATGCAGAGAGAAGTGTTGCACTATTAATTGTCAGTTGTATTACTGTCTTCACCTTTATGTATTGTGTATATCCACCGACAGTTTTGTCAAAGGTTAATGTATGACTTTCTACTCTTTAGTTTAGATATCCATATTGGAAAAAACAGATCAGTTCAGCTCTTTTATACACCTGTTCTTTCCAGCCTCTTTATGTCATGTTTGTGTTGTTGTTGTTTTTATTGTTATTTGATTGTATCACGTGATCTTGAGATGAGTCAGTGCTGATATCAGTGTAAATGGCTGTTTGTCTGTGCAGGAGTTGGAAGCCATGACGAGATACACCAGCCCGGTGAACCCGGCCGTGTTCCCCCACCTCACCATCGTGCTGCTGGCCATCGGCATGTTCTTCACTGCCTGGTTCTTTGTGTATCCTTCACTATTCACTGGCTTACTTTCTGTAATCCCATCAGATATGCATGGGAGCTTGTTTCCGCCTCGGAATTAAATCAAATAAGGAAATTGTGACCATCTCGCAATTCAAAATAAATTTACCACAAAAGGTAATTGCAACTTAAGACTTTTCTTCTTGCAGAATTGTTGCTATTACCTTTTTTCCATGATGGACACAACAACAAAAAAACAGAATTGCAAGAAAAAAAAAGTCAAAATTGTGAGATGTAGACTCGTCTCGCAATTGTGAGAAAAAGACCAGATATAAACTCCGAATAAACTGTTTTTTTTGTGTGCGACTGGAGCAAAAACAGAATTGCGACTTTCTCACAATTCAGACTTTTTTTTCTATTTCTGCATTTGCGAGAAATAAACCCAGAACTGATGGATATGAACTTGCAGTTCTGAGAAGAAAAGTCTGAATCGTGAAATAAAAACTCGCAAGTTTTTGACCTGAAGGATTTTTCTCGTAATACAAGGAAAGTGCTATTGGAAAACCAGTTGTGCCAGCATAGATAATTGTGTATGTAAATATGAATTTTTAGTGAGGTTTTATTGTAGTAATCTTGGTATGATTTAGTTGGACTGATGGTTGGAATGGGGAATGGTTGAATTAATTAATTAATAGCTGTATTTGAGTGATTAATTATTACATTTTATATTTTGAATTGTAACTTACCTGCTCGGGGACTGCAGATGGAAATTAGCTTAAGCTAAATCTGGTGCAAAGCATCTTTAATTAATGTTTTTTTGCACATTGTCCCTGTTGAAATAAATAAATAATTTTAAAAAAGAGAGAAAAAAATAAGAATTGTGAGATAAAAGTCATAATTACCTTTTTTCGTGACGGAAACTAAAATAAAGTTGCGAGATGTAAACTTGACATGTTCTGCGATTTTGAGAAAAGATTCAGAATTGTGAGATAAAAAGTTGCAATTCCCTTTATTTTTTGTTTTTATTCCGTGTTAGTAAAAAGCTTGCATATGTGATTGATAACTTAAGCGTAAAAAGAAGAGTCTGTGCATCCTTGACGCTTCCTCAGATATGAAGTAACGTCCACGAAGTACACGAGAGACGTGTACAAAGAGCTGCTGATTTCTCTGGTGGCGTCGCTCTTCATGGGCTTCGGCGTCCTCTTCCTCTTACTCTGGGTCGGCATTTTTGTCTGAAAGTGAGTGTCTCTAGTGCTTCTTATTATTCAGATACCATTACACTTTTTAGTAGTATATTTTGAATTACTTTTAGTTATTTTATTACATCGTTACATAAAAATTAGTTAATTTATATTTTGTTTAATTTTAGTTAATGACTTATTTTTGAAAGGAAATGGCTTGATCAGTTTATATATTATCCTTGAAATTACAGTGTTTACAGTCCATGAATTCTGCATGCATGATGGAAACCTTTGCAGTCTGAAATCATTATTAATGACGTCACGTCTGTTATATTTGTGTTTGTTAGGTTGTGGAAATGTACATGTTAAGGAAAACATTCCAAGTTAATCGGAAAGTTTTTTTCCGGGACTTCCAGCTTTGTCACAGACGTACCGGAATTTTGGATGGAGTTTGCACTGGCATGATGGACGGGATTGTGGGTTAATATTTCGAAAATAAAAAGTTTTGTTAGAAAATAAAAAATTATTCTTGGTTTTCATTTTCCTCCACTGTTTGTGTGTATTAATTCTTGAGATTATTTGTCCTTGATTCATTTTAATTTTAGTTTCTGCCACAGAATAAAAAATAAAAAAGGTAATTGCGACATTTTATCTCACAATTCAAATTTTTCTCACAATTGCATGATGTAAACTCTCAATTGAGAGTTATAAAGTCAGAATTACGATATATAAATTTGCAGTTCTGAGGGAAAAAAAAGTCAGCCTTTTCCCCCTCAGAATTGGACTTTATATCTCGTAATTGTGAGATTATATCAAACAAATCTAAAAAATAAAAAAAAGTTAGAATTGCGAGAAAAAATTGTCAGAAAAGTCGCAATTCTGACTTTTTCTTCCAATTTCTACTTTTTCTCAGAAATGCGAGATATAAACTCTTAATTGTGAGTTATAAAGTCAGAAATGCGAGAAATAAAAAAGTGAATTGCGATATAAACTTGGAATTGCGAGAAAAATGTCATAATTGCAAGAAAAATTTAGAAAAAAGTCATAATTGCAACTTCTTATTCATTTCTGACTTTTCAATTCTGACTTTTTCTTGCAATTTCAACTTTTTCTCAGAATTGCGAGATATAAACTCTTAATTGTGAGTTATAAAGTCAGAAATGCGAGAAATAAAAAAGTGAATTGCGATATAAACTTGGAATTGCGAGAAAAATGTCATAATTGCAAGAAAAATTTAGAAAAAAGTCATAATTGCAACTTCTTATTCATTTCTGACTTTTCAATTCTGACTTTTTCTTGAAATTTCTACTTTTTCTCAGAATTGCGAGATATAAACTCTTAATTGTGAGTTATAAAGTCAGAAATGCGAGAAATAAAGTGAATTGCGATATAAACTTGGAATTGCGAGAAAAATGTCATAATTGCAAGAAAAATTTAGAAAAAAGTCATAATTGCAACTTCTTATTCATTTCTGACTTTTCAATTCTGACTTTTTCTTGCAATTTCAACTTTTTCTCAGAATTGCGAGATATAAACTCTTAATTGTGAGTTATAAAGTCAGAAATGCGAGAAATAAAAAAGTGAATTGCGATATAAACTTGGAATTGCGAGAAAAAAGTCATAATTGCAAGAAAAATTTAGAAAAAAGTCATAATTGCAACTTCTTATTCATTTCTGACTTTTCAATTCTGACTTTCTTGCAATTTCTACTTTTTCTCAGAATTGCGAGATATAAACTCACAATTGCAATATAAAAAGGTCGCAATTTCCCCTTACTTATTCAGTGGCGGAAACAAGCTTCCATATTAACCTCAATTGTAAGTCACTTTAATAAAAATAAATGCAACTGTATATTTATATTTAAATCATCATTTGACGAATTAACGGGGGGGAAACAAGCTTTTTTTATTCACACTGTCCTTAGCCATGATTTCATATCTCATTTTGGTCAATTTTAACCAGGTTCACTTTCCAAGCTTTTTAACCCCAACCAATAGATTATTCTGTAAATTATAATATTAATATTTATGAATTATAGCAAATATATATATAATCATAACACATTTCTGTCATTATGTCTTCACACAGCATTATGTCATAGAGCTTCACACAGCTTTAATCATTGTTTTGTTCAGAGACAGACTAGTGTTTCCTAAAATAAGATCTCAGTAGGTTCATGCACACGATGCGAGGGGTGAGATGGCTGGGTGTTTGAAAACATAGCATGCTATTTGTGTCCTGCGGGCTGTTTGTGGAGCGTAAAACCCCAATCCTAGCTTAATCTGACAGATCAGAATAGAGCAGTCTGTCAGCGGTGAGATCGTCGCCCGTCTCGGAGCCAGAGCGACTACTGACGTGCCGTGACACTGAAGTAAAGCATCATATATATATACACACACTAGTCAACATTTGAAGTGGATCAAAACCTTTCATCAAAGTCATACATGAATTTTGTATACACCCGTTCTTGTCTTAGAACAACTTTGATGAACTTTTTTGATCCACTTCAAATGTTGACTACTGTATATATATATATATGGAAGAAGCAGCTTATATTTCCGACACGGAATAAAAAATAAAATGGCGACTTTTTCTCACGCACTTCTGAGTTTATCCTAGATTGAGATAGATATTTAGATAGCTAAATTATTTATTCCACTTTGCTATTTATATATTTATTATAATCTGTTTTGGACGAATTTTTTGGATGAACATTTACACTGCATTGAAACTGTAAAAAACTGTGGCCTATGTAAACGAACTTTCGTTCTGTATACACTTGTTGTATTCTGAATGACAATAAAGTCTGTCAAAGTCAAAGTATACCTCACAAATCTGACTTTTCCCCCTCGCAATTCGGAGAATTTTCCCACAGAATTGTGTCGTAAACTGCCGTGGCGGGAAAAAACAATTGTGAGATGTAAATTCAGGAATGAGAGGGGGAAAAAGTCAGAAGAATTGTGAGATAAAAGTCACTTTTACCTTCTTTGAAAAAAAATAAAAATTGTGTCAAAACAACAACAACAGAATTGTGAGGTGTCGATGTGGCTGAAACTTGGCGGGA